CCCTAATTATGCGGTGTTTGTTTGTTTAAAGTGTGAAATATGGGATGATGAGAAAAGTGACATAGTTAATTCCAAGTACTATGTTTCAACGTTCTAATAATTTGCAGGCAGTATGAAAAGCATCTTTGATTATAATGTCCCAAGTTGTTTCCAAGTTGATGTGACTTTAATTAATTAATTTTTATATTATAAAACATAATCATGGAGCACGTGGTTGAAAAAAAATGTTTGATTTTGTTTGAAGCATTCGATTTCAAAATTAAGTACACACTGGAATATGTCGGTATAAGCCGTTAAATTTCGTACAATCTATAAATGAGTCGTAGATGTCTTGAGACATTTTCAATTTGCAAGAGAAATTGCTTTGTAGTCGAGAGATAATTGGAATCAAAGTATGAATTACTTTAAATTATTTGATCCTGACTAACTTGAAATCGAGTCATAAGTTGTATTAACTGATTTCAAACGTATTTCAAGTTTAGCAAGAGTTTAACCGTTATTTATTATTACATTCGAATTCTTACTTTTCTTCTTCAATGCCTTCTTATTTTTAATATTATCATCGATAAAAAAACACTGTTTTTAATCATGATTTTCGTTCAAAAATAATGTTAACACTCTTTAAAATGAGGGCCAAATATTTAATCTCATTTGTTTTGTTTAAAAATATGATGAGCAAGTGAATCATTTTTACTCTATTTTAAAGCAAATTTCGGAAAAAAATCATAACCGAGAACAATTTATGTTAATTTAAGAATAAGAATACGATAAAAAAAACTTGAGACATAAATGCGATAGCATGTAAAAGTTAGGAACCTTTCATGCAATTTAAATGTAGTCTAATTATTAAAAGGAAAATTCTAATTGTACATAATTTTCTACATAATATTTTACCGAATCGACAAGTGACGGCCATCTATTAGGGAGGCCCCTAGGCCCACAGGCCCCTCAATAGGTGGCCGCCACTTGTCGATTTGATAAAACATTATGTAGAAAATTAGGTAGATGTTAATATATTTTTTATGAATCTATATTCTAAAAAATAACTGTCAGTAACTTCTTTACTTAACGTAAAAAAATAATAATTAAACTACACATTATAGAATTAATTACATACCAACATTCCATTGTCGTCCAGCGGTTAGGATATCTGGCTTTCACCCGGGAGACCCAGCAATGGAACCCTTTTCCAAAACTGAATTTTCTTTTAATTTGCTATAAGTCATCTCCATTCTTCAATAATTGGTTTAAAATTCATATATTAAGGACTTTTAGAGTAATTTGAATAATTTTTTTACAGTAAATTGACGTGAAAAAACTCTT